AAATATATTGTGTCGCGGTGACAAGAATTTGAGCCTGTCCAGTAAATTGAATCCAGTGAGAGGGCCAACAGCACGAGGGTTGAACTGGAAGAGGTTATCTGTTTCTCAGCACACGTCGACGACGATGACGACGACGACGACGATCCTCTGCAGCCTTTTCCACACAAAGTATATTACTTATTCACCACTTTTCCCATGTACTCTCATAAATTATGCAATCCACACGGCCTTTTATCTGAACCTTTGTCGGACAAATTCATCCGCTCTTTCTTCTCTCGTGTATATTATAATAAAACCAACTTCAGAAACTTTTGGCGGTCCCTCTCTGAATTTTATTGACATCATTAAGCCAATGTTTGTCTTCTAATTCGGATCATAAAATCTTGGAATAAGTTAAAAACATTAACGTCGTTGGCGTCCTAAGAGCACTTATTGCACTTACTTTTACCACCCTCGAAAAACTTTTAGCCAGCAGCGTGGCCTTGCTCGACAGTGAGAAATGGTGAGAATAATTTCATACTTCTCTCTCTTTCAGTTGCTGATTGATATTCACAGCACTACAAGAATCATGATGTGCACGCGTTTCATTCAGTCAGTCAGAAGATATAACTTATATGCAGGAGCGTTCTCTCTTCAAGTGAAAGCTGCGGATGGGTGGAACATTATAATAGTTTGCTTTTGTTGTTGGAAAATAATGCCGTGGCGTAATTCAATGAATGAATGGTCCGACTCACCATCCAAAACAGTGGTGTTGTGCAGTCCCTGTATAATAACTCATTCACATTGTGATGATGCTGGTGGTGGTGGTGCTAGAAAAACAAAAAAGTTATGCGAACAATTCAGTAATGTGTGCGCAATTATCCGTGAGGAAAGTTGGTGATGCAGTGGGCGTATGCATATCAATTCTTATTTCGTAATAACGGATTTAGATAGTTAATAGCATGGAAAATCAGAAAAATTGTCGCTTGATTCGGCGAAAATCTCATGTTTTTTCTTCCTGGATTTTCGAAATTTGAATGAGAAAATTAAGAGATTTGAGCACTTGTATGCATAACGTAACTTCGAATAATGTTTAATATGAACAGATAACACAAGTTTTTTTAGCATAAATATGTGCAAAGGACAAGTATCGCAGTGCAGCGTAGAAATGTTTCAGATAATGATAATTTTATGGGGCGCTGATCGTTTAGCTTTTCTAAATGATGATGCAAGTAAGATGATAATAGTGCATACACTGCGAATGCAATGTATGCTGCAATGAATTTTGTAATAATTATCTCAAGTTGTCAATCCAAACCATTACTGACTGCTGCAATAAGTATCTCGACGGAATGATAATTGTGCAATGCAAGGTAAAACGTTCCATAGTTATGAATTATGGAAAACAGCTTTATGCAATAAAAACACATTATGCAAAGTGATCGAAAATCCTTGACGTGAATACGCCTCGCAAAGTAAGTTTGCTCCATGCGAGGAGAGAGATAGTTTTAGTCAACGTATGGAGAAAGTGAACGCACGTGGACACCCACCCACATTTAACTCCACTTTATCATGAATGAATGGATGTCTTGAGAGACCAAGGGCATTTGTGTTGTGTGCTGACGCGCATAATTTTATGGGTTAATTTATATCGCAATTTGTACAGTTTGATGAGTCTGTCATCATTCCGTGCGGTGATTCTGAGGATACATGGAACAAATTATGAGCATTGCACGAATCCCACTAAAATTATCAAGACCCTGAAATCCCACTACGCACGTTTCTCCCAAATTCTGGTGCAATCTTGCTGGAATAAGCTCCAAACAAGCTTTGGCTCCAGCTATGTACGCTCTTCTTGAATAACTGACTGTTTCTTGCCAGAAAGAAAGTCGTAATATGAAATTGAAGTCGTAAACGGGGCAATTCCTGTTGTTATTGCTCAATTTTGACGGTCTGTCTTTTTACCGACGATGTATGTATGTGTGCACTTTATCCACAGTCAGTCAGTCACTCTCTGACAGGTTTGCAAAACCAAATAAAAATCAATTTAATCACATCGGCAAACAAAAGAACAAGTCGAGCTAATGCTATTACTTATTTATTTAGAAGAGTTTGCAGGGTGAAACTCACCTTTTGGAGAGATATGTCCCCATCAAAATCGTTTGCAGGCGAGTTCCATTCGTTCCCAGGGACAGGAAAGTTTGGAGGTTTTCCTTCGTTTCCATATGTATGCTTTACTGTCCAGTTTGCCTTTACGCAGTCTGGCATTTTTATGATTCACGGCAAGTGCATGTACGTACGTACGTATTTGAGATGGGACATAAAAACCAACAGCCAGCCCGTGAACATAATACCGTCGAGTGGAGAAGACCCAGTTTTCCCTTAGGTAAAAAATCTGACTCGCTGAAATTAACAATTTCTGATTCCCATACTGGTGAAAGTGTATATAAAGGCAGACTATGATGCTGATTTATGATGTCAACAAACCTGTAGAACACGAACCACTTGCCACTTGTTCTCCTTCAAATGTGTTTCAGAGCCCATTCCTCGCTCTTGTTATAATGAGAGACGTGGGATTTCGGGTGTTTGGTTTGTTCTTCTCTCCTTCTTCTTCTTCCTCCCCCGATCCGAAATGTGGCACGTTTTTATCCAACGCCAAAATAAATGAGGGCGAGAAAGACAGAGGAGCAGAAGACGTCACCACGGCAACGTCTCCGACGGAGGAGCAATACGTACTTATTCTAATTTCTTTCTTTTTCCAGAAGGATCCTAACGATATTGAATTTCTTTGCCTTTTGTTTCCTTTGATGTAATTAATACACTTTGCGTGCACTGTCTGAAGAAAACTTTGTGTATCTGCTTATGTGTCTGTTGTTGTGTGTGCACACAGTGGTTTCAAATCCGGCCAAATGAGAGTAAACCGTCATTATTATTAATATTATTTGGAAACGAATGTAATCTCCTTTAAATTGGGACACTGCACGCCAAATCTTATTAGACAGGACGGAATTAGTACGAAATTTCGAGAGACTTGAGGCAATCATGCAACCCTGTTAAGCCCTCTGATGTTTTTTGGGCACGTGGAGAAAGATAAAGGGTTGATGTGGCTGCCGTTTTTATAATTGTGTTCCAACCACTCACTCATTTGGTTTCATAATTGCATCCTTTAAGCTGTTGAGCAAGGCGGGTAAGTATTTGCGAAAAGTTGTTCTTGTGTATAAGAACAATGATGCTTACGTCTTTAGAGAGGACTAAGTGGAACAGTTCTTCTGAAGGTTTCAAGTCAGTCAGACAGAGATGGGGATTGAGACTGAATGATGCTTTGGGGAGGCAGAATTGACGGGATGATGATGAGATATATGGGCACGCAGGCAGGTGGTGGTGGGACGGTGATTGTTCAGTAAGACGATGATGATGCTACTCCTTCCTGCCGCAGCTTTCACTCAGTCCACATTTTATGCTTGATTGATGGGAGAGATGCGGCAGGCAGGGGTTTGATGTTGCGTGGACGGATAAATATAACAAGGAATTGAGATATAGAGAGAATGCGAAGGAAATTTAATTGTCGAAGGCTGCTACTCCTCCATCAGTCCCATCCACTCAAGATTAATCTCATTGATAGAGCGATTAGAAGTAATTCGGCTCAGGGCGGCAGGCATCAGCAGCAGGTAATCCACCCACCACCGATAGGATTCAGTCCCAATGGAAGCAGCCAGGTAGGCAACTGCTTTCAGATATCTCCCTCTCGCCAGTTTGTCAGAGAGGAGTAAATGAAGGATGGGTGGATTATGTCCCTGCGAGAGAAAGGGAAGGACGCTTCTCCTCACGTTTAGCAGCGACAGGCTGCCTGATACCCGGCCGATAAGGAGCAAAGATTTCGTAACCACTCAAATATCCTCAACCACCACAAGGAAGGGATAAGTAAATAGATCGGATGAATGGGGGAGGCTGTGGGGAGCGATAGCTAATCCTCATTGGGCAAGTGTATGCTTCAACCACGAGAATAAGGTGGGTTGGTCGGTGTCGGACCATTAATTTGTTGGTAAGCATCGCCTCAAATAACGCAATAACTACGTCACTGTATCTCTTTCTTAATCAAATGAAATCTTATTTCAAATTCTCCTCATGAATGAGAAGCAAATTAAATGAATCCATATAATAGCGCAATTATGGAGGTACATATAAATACTGAGGTGGCCTTACATGCATGCATGATGATGAATCGGCACGTGTGGAGGGTGGGACTTTTGCAACAAGAAAGACGTATTTCTGATAATGACATAATAAGGAAATGTCTCCATTTCCGATAAGACTTTCCTTTCCAGGTGCATGGATGGATGGGTTTATTTGCAGAGTTGCTGCTGCTGGTGCTGCTGCTGTTCAATGGAGATCAATGGAGTGCGAGGTATAAAGGAGTTTGGCAAGATCAGATGAGGAGACGAGGCTGGAGAAATGAATAGATTAGAGGCCAACCTGTTAATTATCTCGTCTTGGCTCAAAGAGAAGTCGTGGAAAACATATGCATGTCATGCCACCAAATCAGGAGGAATTCATTCAAATTCTTTGTTTACTGATTTTCGTCTCCTGGCTCACTTTCACGGTTTGCAAAGAGAGAGAGACAAAACTCTTTGAGACGAGAATGGCTCTGGAGATGGAGGGAGTTGATTGCATGATTGTATTGTGCTCCCCCTTCCTCCCTCCACCTTCTCGCAAAGAAGAAGAGACCAAATTGTGACATCAGTTGGTGTAAACTGCGCATATAGATGGATCGTTTTCGTCTTCGTGGGATTCAAAGGTTGTGAAAATACGGATCTCTTCTTTCCCTGAGTTTTGAGGCATCTGGGAAAATAAAGTGTTTGACATGACATCGACTAAGGAGACGATGATGCTCAATAAGAAAAATAAAGACATACGCCTTTCGTCAAATAAAACTGCCCAACATGCGCCAAAATATCGAGACGAGAAGAACGTTGCACAAAACTCGCTCGGAGAGAGAGTTACCTCTCCAAAAAGACTTTCTCTCTCCTCAGAGCAGCAGATCTCTCGTCCACAACAAGGATACCAGGGTCCTCACCAACTCTGGGCACCAGTAGCTCGACGCCACTGAGTTGAGAAGCATGTACGCTCTCGTTTAGCCCCCACCGACCAAGAAACTGCAGCACCCAGAACTTATTCTCCACACCTTCTCGATAACTAACTCGATAACTTATTACCAGTACGACCCATTGTCCTCTGCGCTACCTGTAACCTCAGCCCCACCTCCACCCATGCAATGAAGTAGAACTTGATTCATTCCTCGGAAATCGCGTCTCGTCACGGGACACAAAGGGTTCGTTGAGACTTGTTTGGAACACTGGCTGAGTGGAAATGGAGTCTTCTCTCTTGTCCCCAAAACCACTCTGAGCAGTGAAAGTGGCAAGCAGGAGAGAGTTTGAGTGCAGCTGAGTCGATAATACTACTACCATCACAACCACAACCGCAGTACAAGAAGCAAGCAAACTGACTGCACTCGAATCCGGTGGATAATTCCGAATTGGCGAGGCATAAGTGGGTACCGTCGAGAATAAGGCAACATTTCGGGGAACACACTCATCGTGCCATTGTTACCCAAGCAAGTGTGAAGGTGGTTACTTAACTCTTCCCACCGCAGTGCGATGTGTGTGATCAAATCCAAACCCGAAGGCAGCCACACGTTTTCGTCGCGTTTCCTGTTTTGAAGAAAAAAGAAGACGAAATTGGAAACTATATCACATTCTTCGTCGTCCTCCTCCGTTGTTGGCAGTAGTAGGCAGCAAGTAGTCGTGTTGGCTACTCCCCCTGCACATCAAGCAGCACCTGACAATTGGATTTGAGAAAACCATACCGGGTTCAATTCACCCACTTCTCCTGCTTCTTGCTGGTAAAACAACTTTCTTTTTAGATCGACACAAGCATGACAGCTTTTCGGGTTGCATCACAAGTTTGAAAGATAAATTAACCTTTTCATCCCCCATTTTGAGACGCCCTTCTCCAACTCCTCCGTTCCATTCCTCATCTCGTCACGCAATGAACGAGGTCTCATTTCATCCAAACTATTTATTCAGGTATTTGTATGTATCACCTCCACCTTTATTGGCATTTATTTCATTGTGCATGACGACGAGAGGGTGGGAGTGTATGTGCGGTACAGTTATTTTGTGTGCATAAGTGCGAGCCACTGCTCAAGGCCGCGTGTTGAATAGCTTGACCACGGCAACGAGGGCAGCGACCAAGGAGGGTCTTCGTGTCTGACAAGATTTGTGGATAAGTCCCCTGTCACTCCCAATCCTGGGAGATTGCGAGATATTCTAAACAAGTTGCACACCAAACGGGTTACAAGTAGAATCTTTTGCAATTCCGTTTACAGAAATTTGTATGCGCGCATCGTTTATCCCGAAATGTCCTTTCTAAACACTTTCCTCTGCATTTCGTATCTCTCTCTCTCCGTCCCCACGGCGTGACGACTCTGCTTGTAGTAATCTTGCCCTGAATTGAATTACATGAGGGAAAACGAAACTATTGAGAAAACCAGAAGCAAAAGGACGTCGTCCTCCATGCCATCTCCGATTTCCGTTCATACACAAACCCCATTGAAACAAACAGACAAATGTTACACGGGTTGAAACGTATAGGGTTCAATGGTACGAGTACCTGACTTGACTCGGGTGGCGGAAGCTGTGCTCAAGACTGACTCAATGACTATGCTGAGGATGAGTCAAATAAATAATTTGGGATTCAGAACGCCATCTCGGTCACCACCACCACCACGACCACCACTGCATTGATATCACGCCTGCCTGCCTGCAAGGGTTCGACAGGTAGATTTATATCCATACATTAATATTGTTTTTGTACTGGTTGCAGCAACAACTGCAGTGTTGAGAGAGGAGCAGGTGGTGTGGGTGCAATTGATTAATCAGGTTGTTTGTTGTTGTTCTGCTTGGGTCAGATTTGTAATCTTGTAGGGATTTAGAATAGCAGCAGATGTGTGTCTCTGAGTGGGTCATGACTCGTGTAGGAAGGCCGAAATTAAGAGGGTGGAAGTGGATAACAAAAAGGGGCAGATCTCGAAGAGTTAATGGAAAGGATCCGAGGATGAGACAGCCTGACAGGGAGACAAGAAGGAGAAAGTAATCTAGGGCCAAAACGAAAGAGTTTTTTTCTCGCGTTCCCTCGAGTTGGCAAAGTAAGATGAGACTGACTGCAATTCCGACAATTATCTGAGACCTGCAATCTATTTCCAATTCTCCAGTTTAAATTGAATTCTATTGCCTGAGGTAATTAAAATAACCACTCACAAACCTCCCTGATTTGTTTTCCATCCCAATCAAATGCATGCAGCAATCACCAAATAGTCCCATCGTCGTCATCTCATTTCTCTCTCAATGCGATATCGACGACGACGTTCTCTCTCAGGAATAATGCAGTCGAATTTGAGATTTGATTTCACTCCCAAATCTCCTGAAAACGCAGTGCCAACAAAACCAAGCAACCAAAAACCTTGCCTGCTTTCTCCTCTGTCTCTCATCCCCAGTCGAATCTGATTTCACTCAATTTCATCCAAAATCCAACCAAGGAGAGATAGATCTATGCCATGCCAGCACTTTCTCCTTTCTGCAGCAGCACATACTTATACACACAGAGTTGGACTGCACACCAATAATACCAACCATTCAAGAACCGCATATGTTCCCTTTCATTCTCTTTTTCACATCCAAACCACCTGCTCCTTTTGTGACACAGGAGTCAGTCACGATATACATACATACTTGCACATAAGTACGATATGTACGTACGTACGTATAAAATACCACCCGTCCAGTAGGACGCAAGTATGTATAAAAACAATTTAGTACATTACAAAAGACCAATAACTCGTTCTGTCCGTGGAATAATGTGAGATGAAATTGTTTACATGGGAATTACATGGGTTTACTTTTGTTCGAGTTGATTATGTCAGGATGCGGCTGTGTAAGTAAAGGTCTGATTTTACGATTTCGACTCGTATTGTCAACACTTGATACCATTGGCTTTTATTGTTTTTAGCAAAGTGTGTCCTTTAATGGTGGAAAATGCAGGCGAGGGCAATGCTTACTTAAATACATATGCATAAAACCTGTGGGCTGCGATTGCCAACATTGTCACATAAACCGGGCCGCCACCACACACTCATCAATCACTGGATATTTTCGAATATGAAAAAGAAAGTCAGAAAAGCAGGAGTGGGTTGGGTGGTTGGTTGAATTTTTGCATATTCGCCAAGAGACACAGAAACAAAACTTTGGTTGAATAAGGGGCGTGGAGGAAGAAGAAGTTGTTGTACGAGAGGGAAAGTGTTTCGAATAGTGTTTCGTAATAATAAGACACTTATTCATCTCATCATCTCTCATCTTAAGTTATGCCAGCTCATGCAATGTAACCTCCGCGTGTCATAAATATTTTAAGAGTAGAAACACAAACTATGTTTTTACACTTTAAATATTGCGTAGGTACTTGGTTTTGAATGCATTGTATTAGTTTACTCTGTAATATTAATGCTTTGGATAGTTGTGTGACTGTTGGTGTAAAGTTACTTACACATGAAGCCTAGCCAGATAAGAGATTGTATGCATTTGAGAAATTTATGACCACGACAGATACTTTTGTGTGATATGAATAGTTTGAACATTAGAAGCTTGTGCCTCTCTCTCCTAGGGCCAAGTTTGAGGTATACTTTTTGTTGGAGAGCTAGCGTAAAATTCAAGGAATTTTTGAAATGTTTTTAATTTTATTTTGCTAATGACGTCACGCCGCCTTATTTTTATACGTGGGATAAAAAACTAACAAGTTCTCGAGTAGTTATAAAAGGAGGCTTATTTTACTCATGCTCTTCTCTGACTTTCTTTCCGCCGTTACTCCAGCTTTTCACTTTCACCGTGGCTGGAGCGGTGGGTGGGTTGGTTGCAAAAGTCTTATTACAACTTTCCAATTCATTGACAAACTTTTCATCTCTTCGGAGCACCACCAGGAGCAGGAGGAGGAAGGATGAGTTCAAGTAAGTATTTTACCTGCCAAGTCGACTGTGTGTGTCCTGGGTAATAGGGATTTACTCTCTATTGTAGCCATATGTCAAAGATGTCTTGTCTGGGGTAAAAAAGTCGGGCAAAAAATTTGATCTTATGTCATCATAAAAGTGGGATGGTTATTGGTGTGTTGATTTCGCCGTGTGTTGGGGTCCCATTCCTCAAGGAATTCGCCAAGACGAGATTTTATCAAAAGCTCGAAACCCACAAAGTGCTCAAGGCTATTATTATTTATCGAAGCTTCCAATATATTATATTCCTCGTTACGTAATAAGCCTAAAAAACTTTGAATGTCATAATAATAGGGGTGAGGGCATGGTGAGATAATTTAATAAATCAATTTCGGGCTGCAGGGGGTGATCTGGAACTTGGATGAGAAAGCGAACCATTACTTCTTATGTGGAAGAAGGAAGATAAGTAAGTGCACGTATTTAGGTGTCAGTTCTCAGAGAAAGTCCGGCTCAGCTCCTTAGCCTATGGTTTTCCGTACGTACGTACATGTCTGATTGCATTATCGCCATTTAGTGAAAATGATATGTGACCACTATAAAGCTCCGTCGTAGAAGTAACAGAGTTGTGCCGGATGTCGGAAAGAGAGAGATGGAGAGAGTTATCGGAAATGAGGGTGGCAGTCGTGGTGGCAATGATTCAACATTGACTGCATAAGCCTCGTTGCTTGATGACGGCTCGTGTTGCAAAGTAGTCGTGGTTCAGCTCTTTGCTACTCGTTTTACTGAAGGATAATTAATTTAGAAGTTCAGAGGAAGAGAGAGAGAGAGAGAGCCATGTATCCGGGACGGTGGTGGTGGTGGTCGCATCACTTAATAGCCGTTTTAATCTGGAAGTCGAATTTATCACTTTTTATTCACTTCTGTCTCCCACATGCAGATGCTCCAGTCAGATTCCCATTATGTCAAAGTGTGTAACAAAGGGGAAAGGTGATACTTTTGCCATGCACTCCTCCTCCACTCCACGCCTCGTTAGTAGCCATTCTGCCCTCGTGCTATTATCCACCCTGATGCTCCCTCGTTTCGCGACAGGAAAGGAAGTATGTAGGATGACGCTTCTTACTTTCCTTTCTTCTCTTGATCTTCTCTTCCGGCCGTGATTAATAATTTGTGAGATGTGATTTTCTCCTTCTTCTTCTCGGTAAGAGAGCTGGGGTTATTTATTGGCGGAGGGAAATTGCATCAACACGATATGTATCCACCCGCGTCTGACCTTGGTTCATTAGCAGCTCAAAAGCTCATGCAGCTCATAACAACTAACTCTCAACGCCCTGGATTGGAGATAAAACTGATTTGGACCGAATTGTTTGCCGAGTGCCTTTGTCAAAGTTGATGAGAGGTCTCTTTGTCTGTTTGCAAGGTGAGAGAAGTCCAGGAACTCGGAGCATTTTTCAATTCACTTTTCGCATCCGGCCTCGTCCTGCAGGATAAATCAAACAATTGTCAGAATATATTCCATCCAGTTCCTAAGGCCATTGTGTTATTAGACGAAGGCCGGAATGAAGGAGGGAAGCCTTTTGTAATTATCAAACATGCCAACGGTGTGCGTCAAACTTTGACACAGCAGCAGCCCCACCAGTTCTCGAGGCACAGCAACATTCCTTTACCAACAAACAAGCGAGAGCAGAAAAGATAGGCCTACCGCTTTGTCACATTGCTGTCTATCCATCCATCCTGCTGGCTTTGGCTTTCCTCGCCCCAACAACATCCCGTCTTTCCTCCTCCTCTCTCTTGTTGTCCGTCCACCAGATTGGAATGTTTCGCCATAAAGGACAAGGTCAAATTATTATGCCGAGGTCTGAAAACAATGT